GGCGGGGGCGGGGCGCTGGATGCTGCAGGGGCGGAGGACGGGGGTTGGGAGGGGCTGCGGCAGCAGATGGATGCCAACCTCACCATCCTTCATGAGCAAGTGGACCTATGGGAGACGGTGCGCAGGCCTTCTCCTCCCACTTGCCGGGCTGCCATTTGGGGGGCAAGCCGCACAGCCGTCCGCCCGCCGCCGCCTCCGCAGGGTGCTGGCGCGCCGGTCCCTGCCTGTACGTGCACCCTCCATGTGTGAACACCCCGCTGGCTAAATTAATGACTCCGCTTGCGCGCCCCAGTTCCGCGCCCCTACCCCGTTGCAACACCTGCCCGTCAGGTGTATGTGACCCAGGACGCCCTGGACCCTACGCAGCACCTCAACCCGCCCATGGCGCCGCCGCCGGGGCCCGGGCGGCCAGGCGCGGGAGGCGGGCCCGCCGGCTGGCCCGCGACGCGGGCGCGCATCCTCGCAAACACTCCCAACAACAGCCTCTTCCGGGTGAGCGGGGCAGCAGCCCCCCGACACACGCGTGCATGTCTCCCGCCGCTGATGATTGCTTCTTCGGCACGGGTCGCTTGCGACACGCGCACCGCGCCGGCCCGCAGCCCGCCGTCTTTTGCAACGCTGCACATGCTACCTTGGCCGTCGCACCGCAGCTGCGCTGGCACACGCTGCATCTATTAGTCAGGATGCTGCTGTTCGAGCTGACTGAGCTGGCCACCAGCGTCGACCAGCTGCTCGCGGCGCTGGCGGACGGCGGCGCCAGCAGCGGCACCAGCGGCGATGGCGGTGGCGGCGGCGGTGCGGCTGCCTCCGAGCCATCGTGCGAGGGCGGTAGCGGCTGCAGGTGGTGGCGGCGATAGGAAGGGCGTGCACATGAACGGGAGGTCGCTGAGGTGGCGAAGGACGTAAGCTGCAAAACCCGGCCTTGTGGCCTAGCCGCATCTGTCACCCTGCCTTGCCCTAGCACGTTTGCACTTTGCAGTGACTGCTGCAGCAATACCAGATGTCAGCGGCAGCCGACCTGCACCTGCTGCAGACAACATAAGCGAAGGATACTTGCAGACGGTTGGATGAAGAAACTTTTATGGCTTGAGGCGCAGGCGGCCCGCAACTCCGTCTCATTGGATCACGTCAGAATCCAAGGGCGAGCGTGCTTGGTGCCATCGGTGTCAACCACCAGTAACGCACATCGTGTACTTTCACACACCCTTGAAAGAGCCATCTTTGCCGTATCATGGGTGAGGCCGTGCCGATTGCGGGTCGCATACGTCATCTGCAGCCTACGGTGCTCGAGTTGTCACCCTTCTGGCAGCGTCTGTTATGTCACTTGTCACTTGGGTGAGCTGGCGAAGGGTAACCCCCACTATTGAGGGCCTCAGCTTCCATTCCCGTGCCCTCAAAATCTCTAACCAGCCCCTCAAGCAGCACTTTCACAACAATGCAAGCTCTCCTCACGCGCCGCAGCGCTGCCGCCTTTGCCGCCCCCACCGCCCGCAGCCGGTGAGCGGTGCACTTGCCATGCCCTATGCTGCGCAGCCGGCGCAGAGAAAGCTCATGTGACGCAATGCATCTGGGGTCGCGGCGGGTCTAATGGGCCTCGCGAGGCGGCCGATCTGGCCTCGCATGATCTGATTCCACTCCTGACTTTGCCCCACACAGCTGCACACGCAAGTTCTCCGTGATGGCTGGCGTCACCAAGGAGGTTGTGATTGCGGGTGCGCGCTCTGATCACGGCACGAGCCTGCTGGCAGACAGACATGCCCGCTTTGACGCGGGATCGAGCTCAAGGCCACGAATCTGGGCGTTTAATACACAGTTGCTCAACCAGGTTACCTGGCAGGCTACCGGACCGCTTTCTGGGGCTGTGCATCGCTGGTCCATCCACCCTCTGGCCGCTGAGCAGAGGCGAGCGGCCGACCCATCACCCCAGCGCGACGCATCGCGCTGATTGGTCCCCTCCCTGCCTGCCTTACAACAACAGGCGATGGTGCCAACTTCCCCAAGCGCGGCGACAAGGTGCGCGCTCCACAGCCTGGCTCGCTTGGGCTTGATTGAGTTGATCATGTCCACATCAGTCATTTCTGGCCTGTTCTGCCAAGTGTCTGTCAGGCTGCACGCATCGTCCTCGCATGTCCTTGCACCATCCAACACGCCACGTCCGCTTGATATCTGTTGGGCGGCCTCCAGGTGACCGTGCACTACACCGGCACCCTCACCAACGGCAGCAAGTTCGACTCGAGCCGCGACCGCGGGCAGCCCTTTGTCTTTTCAATCGGCGTCGGCCAGGCAAGTGGGCCGCCCACGCGGGCGCTGTCGTGGTGTTTTGGTCATGCTGCGCCGGTGCAGAAGGTGTCCTTTCGCTCAGCCGCATGACAGTGGCGCGCCAGGATTGCTGGCACAAGTTTACGTGGCCCATTCCTGAGCTCACAAGCGCCGCAAATCACCATTCAACCGCCCTTTCTGCTGGCTGTGGCCGGGTGTGCAGGTCATCAAGGGTTGGGACGAGGGCGTCGCGCAGGTGCGTCAACGGGACAGGTCTGGACGGGGCAACCATTCCATCAAGCGTTGCAGTGAACTGCACAACACAACAATATGACCTTGACCTGCATGTACTCAGGGCTGTGTCACTCGGAGCAGCCCTTTGAACCCGTTGCGCCACTTTGCGACCCCCGCACCTGCAGATGAGCGTCGGCGAGCGGTCCAAGCTGACCATCTCTCCGGGTGAGGCGCCAGCGCTGGCCTGGAGTGACGGCGCGCTGTTGCGAAGCACAGCTAGGCAGGAGGACGCTGGTCTAAAGTGGCCCTTCACTGCCCTGCCTGGGCAAGAGTGTAACCCCTTGATCTCAACCAGCGGGGCACCCCATTGCTTTACTCACTCCCCTGGTGCTCGGACCCTACCCCCCGAGTACTTCCACGGGCGCCTCGACTCACCACTCGCTGGCCTCCTGTGCTCGCCACTCCACACCAGATTATGGCTACGGCGCTCGCGGCGCGGGCGGTGAGTTTGATTCCTCGTATCGCATCAACGTCACCGCCTGTGTTGGTTTGCGTGATCGTTGCGAAATGACCCTTCCCATCCAGTAACGATTGCTCCATGCACTCTGCGCATAATCAACCCACCCCACAGGCGTCATCCCCCCGAACGCGACCCTGATTTTTGACGTCGAGCTGCTGAAGATCAACTGATTGGGTGCTGCTGCTGCAGTGGCTGCTGTGTCACACCTCCACGGGCTGCATTGGAGGGCAGGGTATGCGGCTGTGTCAACGTCGGCGGTCCTTGTCGCAGCAACGCCACGGCAGTCTTATCACTATGCCGCTGGGCCTTGCCTTGCATTGTGTAACGTCCGAACATACAAGATATACAGGGTGTGGGTATGTGTCCCAGGGATTGGCATGGGGCTGCGGCCATACAGTGGGTAAGAGCAAGCGGAGCGAGGATGCAAACAGCACGGCAGTCTTGGCTTGTTCAGGAGCTCGCGGCACCCATGTGCTGATGTCACCCTTGCGTACTTGCAAGCAACCCAAACACCATCAATTATGATGCACACGACCCACCTGCTGTCAGGTTTGATGTTTACAATGGCGCGTGCAGCAGTTGGCGGCCTGCGCATCAGGCGAAGGGGCTCCAAGGAGGAGTGCAGCAGTCGGCAACACCACAGCACAGCGCCGAACACGAGTTACTTCGCACACAAGCGTGTGACAGCGCGGTCCCTTTCTGTGTGTTTAGAAGTGTGTCTACAAGCTTGCAAATTGCAGACGCGCGACAAGGAACCTGTAGGCGTGCAGCTGATCTAGTATAGCGGGCTGCACGACCGGATCTGGCATCAAGTGGTTTTCGGCCAGGATGACGGGCGTCCTGCTTGCGCAGGGGCTCAAGTCCTCGCTGTGGGGCTTGACAGCAGGTGTGGGCTGGTGTCGCTTGACACATGCCTGCGGCGTCATCAGTGTGCTGTGCTCGTGCTGATTTGTGTTTGAGTAGGATGTCACGCCCGTCTGATTGGCGGTAAGGGCCTAGGGGCGCAGATCGACCGTCCCAACTCGCCCTTACTTTGCACCTGTTGCCTCACTTGTCATTGGTGATAGGCGCACAGTCTCAGGCATGCATGGGAGCTCTGGTTGAGGCGCAGCGGTGGTTCTCGTCGTCGTTCGGGTGTGCAGCAGCGGCGCACTTGCGCGAGCGGTAGCTGTTGCTGCCTGAATGTCGCTTGGCTTGAAGATCTGTGCTAGTGCACCTGTGTGTTGTCGGCTGCTGGACAAGAAAGTTGTAAATGCCGCAGCATTTGCAAACATCTGACCCTAGGCGCCGCCCACTACGGTACCCCCCACGCCCCTTTCGCCCTGCAGCAGCAGCGGCGTCCACAACCTGCAGCAGCGGCAGCACCAGCGCCTCCCGCCCCTCCCGCAGCAGCAGGCCGGCCCCGCGCTCGCCGCCGCGGCCGTGGCATTCGGTCCGGCAGGCGGCGCCCCGCCTGCGCCCTTCGGCGCGCGCGCTGCGACGACCAAGCCGCTGGTGCCCGCCAAGGTGTCGGGCTTCACCATCAACTTTGGCCCGCAGCACCCCGCGGCGCACGGCGTGCTGCGGCTGGTGCTGGAGATGAAGGGCGAGCTGGTGGAGCGCGCGGACGCCCACATCGGGCTGCTGCACCGCGGGACCGAGAAGCTGATTGAGTACAAGACGTACCTGCAGGTGGGAGGTTTTCTTTGGGGGGTGGGAGGCGCTCGCGTGTTTGCGACGCCTGTACCTGCGTCGGAGCAGCTGCCTGAGTGGTCGTGGCGGGATGGCGCTGAGCTTGTGTGTGTGTGTGGGGGG